TTTTTCTTTCTTATTCTTTTTTTTTTTTTTTTTTTTTTTTTTGTTCACACATCACAGCTAGCTTGATTTCGATGAAGGTTTCGAGTTTTTATTTCTCATGCCAAATTTCTTTCTCGTAAAATTGATATGTTGAATTTCAAGCGTGAAAACAATGGTTCTTTGTACAAGGATGGTTCCGCACACTAATTCTTTGTAAGTTAAAAAAAGTAAGGGGAAAAGAAGATAAGAATATAAGACTTACCTTAGAAAGTTTCTCGCCCTCATGATGTGGCAACAACGTCCTTAGAGATTGGAAACCGGCGTTAATACTTTGCATCCGACGTCGTTCATTGCTGTTGGCGATTTCTCGCCGCATACGCTTCTCCTGCTCCATATGGCTTCGCGGTGTAACGCGGCCGACGTTGCTGGTACTATTTCCGTTGCTCAACGCAACGTTCTGACCAGCAACACGGCGAGATACTGCGCCGTTGCTTTTCGATTGCTGTTGCTGTTGCTCCTGCGAATCAACGACCTCGGCGACCGTCACGCTCGTGGTCACCGAGCCCTCCTCTATTGTTCCAATGCTTCTGCCAAACAAAAATCATACGTTCTTAATATTTATTGACCATTTATTTGCTTTTGTGAGTGTTAACACTAAACTCATTCTGACTTCTTTAACCCTTTTCTTATGGGAAACTTTTGCTAATTTTTAGCTTCATCGATACGAGAATTAATTATTTATATCGTCTTTCTTAATGTTATTTTAAATACATTATTATAAATTAAACTTATACTATAAGATAAGATGAGATTATAGTAGGAAAATCCTGTTGTACGAATGGAAAGTCATAAGAAAAAATCTGCAAACTCCTCTTATATTAAATACTGGATTTCATATTTATTGCTGAAAAAGGATCGAAAAGTGATTTTCTTCCAACTAAACATTCGAAAAGAATAATACGAAAGATTGACATTGAAATACGTGGTAAACGTAGAAATCTATATCGTTGGATGATAAAAAGTATTTGAAAAGCCTGGTTGTACAAGGGAAAAAACGAATACGCGAAGAATAATTTCATATAACGCTGACGACATTGCGTGCAGTCTAGAGCCTTTGAAAACTGTAACCACAGAACGACAATGCTGTCTCGCTTCATTGACCGCGAATTTAACTGTCGATAAGTCGTGGCTGCTATGTAGTTTCTGTGAAACAAACAGCACGACGCTTTCAATTTCCTTAAAAGCCCTTATATCCAGACAAACAGCCGTTTTTATATTTCTGTCTGCACATTCATTTCTCTGCTTTTCTTCTCTCTCTCTCTCTCTCTATCTCTTATCTGCTTGTAAATCAAATATTTAGAGCCGCCACAAAACTCGACGAAACGTGGACGTCATATGGAGTGCACATAGAAAGTGATATACCCAAGTCCGTGTCAGTGTCCTCTCTTTCATTTCGTCTCTTTGATTTTCGGTTATCTCTTTGCTGGCTACGACGAAATGCTTTTCGAGAGTCTGCAATCTACACTTGAAACGAATGTGTTCAGTGATTCTTCTCTTTAGTTTCGTGACAATTTATTGAAACTTTATTGCGTCTGGAGTTCCCGCATAATTTATTCACAATAAAAATTATCTTTGTTTCGTATTTTAATACTCTGGTATTGAGCCATTGGGGATCATAGGAATTTAGGATTAGATTGCTTAATCTCGAAATCGTTCATTTAATTTAACTTTATTGCGAATCTCTATCACGGGAAACGTGAAATACGAAATAAAACTACGTACTCCAAATTTTAGTAATCTAACATAAATTATTATTATAACCATCCAGTATTCCAGTGATGCTATTTGAGGGTCCGCTTTAATTTCAAGAATATTGCAATCTAAAAAAGCGAAACTCTGTTGAAAATATTGTAAATACTTGTACAACTGAAACAAACTTCCTATATGCTTTCGAAAATCCAATAAAAAAAAAAAATAAAATATAATGGCAAGAAAAAAAAAGATCAAACAAAAACAAACAATAGTTGCATCTGATTCCAAATACGAGATTCACGAAACCTCAGAGAAGGAAGAGGAGGTACGCATTTGTGGAAGATTAACAGTTGAACTAAACGGTGTGCCATTACAGGAACGGATGTAATGAATAGTTTAGAAATGAAGAGGAGATGGGAATGTTTCTCTGGTCGGTAATGTTGGTGGTGAAGAGAAAAGAAGAAGAAGAGAGATGGGAAATGGGTGGCGCGTCTGCCGCTAGGAAACATCTGGTAAAATTACACGGAGGCGCGGCGGAGACGATAGGGAGAAAGAGAAAAGAGGGAAAAGATCGGGATAGCGGATGTGAGATGAGTCAGCAGGGAAAGACCGTGACCTTGTGCCCTGCTCTCTGAAACATTCGTTCAACGCGTGCCGATAATAGCACCACAATATATCCATATGTATATAATATACTTACATATAGAACATACGTGTTTCATATTATACGAACGATTTATTTGATTTTGTGGAAATTGAAGAATCGGTTCGCTAAATGAGAAACGGCTATGCGTATTTGCATTTGTATTCGATATTTTAGCGCTGATTTTTTAACAATCCGTTTAAATTCCTATTTCGTTGTTCATTAATCGAAGTAACAAAAGATTAATTTACCAATATTTGATGGATTTTACAGATGGGAACTATTTTAGTTGATTTACATTATTATGATTGAAATTGCTAAAATTACCATGAAATAATCGGAATGGAATTTAAAGAGAAACATAATAGTATATACAAGAGACATTATAGATGAGGAAATTTTAAACTTAACCAAAGTGTACACTGAAATTGAAGCTAAAATTTCGAAGAATCTTAACAAGGACTATTCGGATCATTAATAGCAATCTAATTTCTCTGGGAAATGTGAAAACATAAAAACCAACAAATTTTAAAGACAAACACGCTATACGGCGAAACTTGCAGATTCTAGGAATTTGAAGAAGGAACTGTATGAATGAACGGCTGGTGAAGTCATCGTACTTCCTGCAGGATATGCAATAATAACACGTGGTCCACGCAGCAGAATTCCACATGGCATTCTCCCATCGAGTGGTTACATTAGATCAGCTGGTACGCCGACGGCTTACTGGCTGGATGGTTGGCTGCTGTGACGTCAGCTCGTTCGTCGGATACCCGCTGAGTTCACTCGGATCAGTCCCGTAGAAGTAGGTCGACTAAGTAGGTGGCTACCTTCCTTTTCATCACAGACCTTTATATGTATATATATACACATATAGAGGTCTATATACTATATATCTATATACAGACACATTTCTAAAGTGTAGGTCGTGAGCTGATTTTGGGTGGGTAGAGTCAAATATTAGGTACAATATGAGATCTTACATAGTACATGCTTTTAAGAGTATTACACTCATTGAGAAACGTCGGATGAATAATTCAAAGTCGATTCAGTTGAAGATCACGTGAAAATTACTATCTTTGCCTAGTTTTTCCCAGCTCGCGGATCTATATCACATCAATTTTGAATTGCTTATCAATCAACTCTCGACAGCAATTAGATACACTTTATGTAATCTTCAAGTGGATCGTGAAAAATTACGGGTTAAAATTAAAATTACAATCGTTGTATACGTATGTAGGACTATTATCAGGCTAAATTTTAATAAATGTATCCGATGATCCGTTGTTAGTCACAAACGCCATTTTCGTTTGGAAAGAATGTCAGTTCAAATGGAAAAATCATACCATCTACTTCAGAGTTTACGATGCTTTCGAAATCGTTGAGTAAGATAGGCCTACTCTTTCGAGTTCACGATAAACATTCTCCATGTATCTGGAGTTTATCGTGTCCCACGTGTTCGTCGAATAGGTGTTATCGTATCAGATAGCACTAACGACGTTGAACCTGAGAGGTAGAACATTAGAAGCTTCTGCATTTATATGCATACTTGACTTTCAAATTGAATACTGGATCTGTAGATTCATCTAGTAAGAATTACAAAATTCGAATTCGTATAAATGTAAAACGAGCGATCTCGAAACTAAATTCGAAAATTCGAATGCATAATTAAGAAAAAGCACTTTGAAAATGTACATTCAACTTATTTAAAATATGTAACACGCGAGTTAAAATTTTAAATGCTTGAATGATATTGTAACCAGAAAATACTGGATTACTTTGATACAGAATTTAAATATTGTTGTATACGTCTATATTGCGGTAATATCTTAAGATTTTTTAAAGAGATGTATTTTTATACTAGGTATCTTATAAGTCATAGTTACTAATAATGAATAATCATCAGTAGAATTCATAAACACAAATAATGAGCAACTTGTGGTACATTCATACTATAAATATTCTCTGAACGAAACATACATAGTCCTTGGATTATTTTTTTGCTACAAATATAATCATTTTCTCGTTCAGTTTTCCTCGTATTATCAATTACGTATCACTACTTCCTTTAAACTTATTTATCGAATTGACTCCAATGGTTACTTATTCTTCTTATTATACAAACTGAATTATACAAACTGAAAATATACAGGTTGTTCCATGATTGGTGGTACAATTGGGTACCGGGTGATCCTACGAGAAAAAAGTAAGGCGAAGGTAGAGAATAAAATTCTTTCATATGACGTCTCGTTTCCGAGAAAATCGAGTTTGAATATTTGACAAGTATACTTAAACTTAGCTAATTCCGGACTGAACAAGAGTAAATAATCGATCGGAGCTAAACTACGTATGAAGATGTGTTAAAAACGTAGAATAAAATCTTTTCATGAGATGCTTTGTTTTCGAGAAAAATAAAATTGAAAATATGGTGCGCGTGTATGAAATCAGTTCTTACATAAACATATTCAAGCTTTATTTGCTTGAAAATGAGGTGTTAAAGGGAAAAATTTCATTTTATATTTTCCATTTATTTTCGCATGCATAATAACCTCCTGCTGATCGTTTACATATACTTAATTACTACATAATTAGCCAAATTTAAGTAAACTTGGTGAATTTTCAAATTCGATCTTCTTCGAAACAAAGCGTTATATGAAACAAATTGTATTCCATATTTTCGATTTATTTTTTCACATAGAATCACCCTGTACCACCAGTTACGAACGATCCCATATATAGCAGTTTCAAGCATCCCTCTCAAACACTAGATGTTCGAATACCATCATGAGCTGTACATGTATATGTATCTACACATCCGCCGCTCGTATCCGAACGTCGCGTTGCCACGTCTGCGTTTCGCGTGTGTGTAGCAATGGTAGCGTCTCGCGCATGCGCAGACGTGTGTCAGTGAGCGAGTCGCGAGAGAGAATACGCGGATTGTGCGGTTGTGTTATGTCGGCGCGGTGCTCTCGCGTGAGTCACCAACAGCTGATGGCTGGCGCCACTCAGCTGGTTGTTACCGGTGCCTTCGCACGAGCCTCGCTATCTCTGGCTGCCTATCAGCTGCTAGCGACTAGGAAACGACCGGAAAGGATGTCTTGTCGAGCTCTATAAAAAAAAAACCGGAGAGAAAAAGCGACGCGGCTACACGACGGTTACAATAACGCCGTCACTAGCCGACCAACTCGA